AGGGTTTGTACATCTGGACAGTTATCTAAATTGTAACCCCCCACCCCCCCTTTCACCCCCTCCCCAGGAGCTGGCAGAATATGAGAAAGTGTCCGATCATGTGAAAATCACCCAGAAAGGTATGTGTGTTTTCATTCTGCTCTTTTTAAAAAATCTTTTTTAAAGAAACCAGAACAGCTGTGAGCTGGAGGACATCCCAGAGGATGTTCAAAGTTCACTAACTTGACCTTGGAGACATTTCTTTTAGGAATCGGGCCTTTTATTTCGAATTATTCGGCTCAGATGTCAGGACATTTGTGGCATCTGACTTTTATTTTCAGTAAAAATCTGCTCAGGTTGGTGCAGAAGTCAGATTTATTTCAGTTAACTGCTTTACGGCGGTCCACTGGGACACACACTGCTTTTAAAATAGAGCATTTATTCCCCCAAAGGCACCGATACAGGATCAATACACACTAATTAATCCTGGTTTGTTCATGGGAGCCATCGGCCTGAAAGCAAACGAACAAATGTTTGTTTTTTTATGTATGGGAGTGACAAATTTGGGGGGTAAGTTGGTAAATTTCTGACAAAATTGTAAGCAAAAAATTGCTGAAATATATGGAAAATATGCCAATAAATATAAAGATAAATATCCCACCCAAATATTGGGGAAATCTGCTGATGTGAGAGATCCTTTGGGGTTTTGTGATGTCAAAGGCAGTAGGTGGCCGCGCAGATGCCCGATCAAAACGTTGACATAAGTGCAGAAATGACATTTTTTATTGTGAAATCAAATTAAAAGAACGTTTGTTTTCAGACTTGGAGCAAGACGGCTTCTGCAAAAACCCGTTTTTTCACGGGATCGTCGCCGAGGTGCCGGAGAAGCTCCGATCCAAAGACGGTGGGTGAGACGCGCCTTTGCTGGGAGGTGGTGGGCAAAAAGGTTTATTTTCTGGGTGGAAAAATGGGCTTTTAAACTGATTGTATTTAGAGGAAATGGAGACTGTAGTCATGGCATCATCTGAAGTAACACATTCATGCATTGGTCTTTAGTCAAAGTAAACTTAAATTCAATTAAATGATTAAACTTAAATCAATAAATCAATAAAACCAATTTAAACTTAAATTAAATTATTAAAAAAACAAAAGATATAAATAGAATAGATTAAAATTAAATAACTAAACAGCTCAGAGTCCATCATTAAGGAGATCTGTGACCGGTCACTGGGTGGCGTATTTTTTTCTGTTTTTTGTTTTAATCCCTTTTGTTAATGCTTTTATTTTGGTGAAAACGTTTACCGTGTAAACAGATCTGTGTCCCCCGATGCAGTTTCCTGCTCCTTCTGACACCCTAAACGATCAGTTTGCATCATCAGAAACCACAAGACTGGCACATTTAATACATGTTGCTAAGAAAAAGAAAAATAAGTTTAAAACCATTGATGCTTAGCGTTAAAACAAGAAGTTAAAAGAAGACGGTGAATGTAAACAAGCTGGTAAAAGAGGAGAAACTAGAATATATATTCAGAATTCCAAGAAATAGTCAGCGTCTCACAATAGGTCGAAGGCCAGGGGGTGAAAGTGTGTTTTTTTTATCAGAGTGCGACTTAAAATCCCTTCCTGGAGAAGCCGGCCTGTAAATCATCTCAACAGCTTTGTGCAAATCTGTGTAACCTTTGAGTTGTCTGAGACTTTGGAACGACTAAAACCGTCCGGTTGAGGGTTTATATCACTTCCAGGAAAAGGCGGGAACGGTTTTCCATTAATATACAGGAGATACGGAGCAATTTGAGTCCTAAATATAATCTAATATTCGTCCTGTGACTCCCACCGGCCTCTGGTCTGACTTTTTCCCACTCAGTCAAACCAGCTTTCACCGAATCCCGATCCCGATTCATTTCCGGGAAGCGTCTACGTCGGTGTGTGTGTGTGTGTGTCTTATACAAACCCCGAATTACAAGAAAAGAGTTCAAAGGTCAAATTCACTGTTGTATCAGCATCAGAAGACACGGATTTAAACTCGGTCATTGAAGAAGAAGATGGAAAAAGTAATTAAAAAGCCTGAAAGTCAACATTGAAAACCATCCTGAAATCTAGCCACTAGCAGCAAAAAATTATTAAATTATAAATGACTATTATTATTATCATTATTAGCCAATGTAATTCTGTAGATTTCATTAAAACGTCATAAAAAAATTAATTTTAAAGTAAATGGAAGCGGAAACTTAAGATGTTTGCTTTAATTTTATGATCTTAGTAATAAAGAGTTAGTTCTCCGCCTTTAATTGCTATTTAATCTGTTATGTTGCTACCAATGAATTTTTTGGTGTAATTACAATGTGTAATATTTTTTTTAATTAATTTTTTATATGCATCTTTCTACATCTTCCTCAAATGTTTGTTGTAATTAAGAAATCTGGGCGGCGTTATAAAGTAATCAGGCAAGTAAACAGAACCCAGTTCCAGCCTTTAAGGGCAAATTTCTACTATAAAATTGAATTTTGGTGTGTGTGTCTGTTATTAAAACATCAGGTTTAAAACCAACATGGCCGGGATTATTAAACAGCTTTATGGTTTGTAAATCTCTCTCTCTACAGGCCACACAAAGATCGGCTACGCTCTGTACTTCTACTCGTACAGCTCCTGGTCGGGCCGAGCCGTCTACATGGAGGACCTGTACGTGATGCCAGAGTTTCGAGGTAAAAGTTACACGTGCACTTTACGTGCACTTTACGTCTCTTTGCACACAGGAAGCCTCAGGTTGTTTCTTATATCTCGGTTTTTTAGGGAAGGGCATTGGGAAAGCACTTATGAGCAAGGTGGCACAGGTGAGTGC